AAGTGTTTAAGACCAGGTTGGATGAGCCTTTTGGCAGCAGGGAGGTTGGAACTACATGATATTTAAGGTCCCTTTCCAACCCAAACCATTCTATGATTCTATGATTCTATGATTCTATGACTCTATGATAAGTTGGACAGAGGGGAACTGGAGAAAGGAGAGTAGCCCTGAATAGGCTACATTTTAGAGAACTGATTTCTCTACATTAACTGTTTGGATTTCACTAAGTTGAAAGTATTCAAAGACAAAGACAACTGTTTCTAAAATGTTTCTTCAAAGGCATGCATTTTGATTTGGTTCTAATTTAAATTAGGACTCTTCAAAGTAAGCTGCTACCAAATAAAAAACTGTCATAGCCTAGAGCAGAATGAGACCTTTCGTATTTAAAACCCACTTTCTTTCTATGTATCCTTTGGTCTAAAGTATCTTCTCAAGCAAACTTTGAATTTGGGACTCTGTCTACATGGTGACATGGCCTTTCTCCTTTTTTGCAAGGAGGTAAGTGAGAGGGGAATCTGTATAAGGTGTTCCTCCTGCAAACCAGAAGGCTTATGGGCTCACTGGAAAACACTGTAATTTACAAAAGGAAAGCAAGGACAGGTTTAGGGAGGAACCATTGCATCACTATGACTAAATGCATAGGCATCCATTATTTTTAAATCTGACTTTCAATTGCCAGAAAGGTCTGAGTTTTCACACAGTGCCCAGGTTACCAGATAATAACAATCAAAGCAAATGGCCACCCTGGGAAGTTAATAAATCATTTGCTCTAAGCATCACAACAAGCAGACCTACTCCACTGGAAAACAACCCATTTAAATAGTAAGGAAAGAGGAGGAGAGAAACTTTATCTGCTATGAATACCAGAAGCTTATTCCATTCAAGAATGGTCTCTTTAGCAGCCATAACTATTTCTGCTGTAAATAACATGGATATGTATTAAATCAGAGCCAAAAATCTTTTCAGAATTCAACAGTATTTAGGTCATCTGCACTCTATTGACAGATACTGAACTCTGAAACCATAATGATGTAGCTCAGCAACAGTGCATGCATCCCACTAATGAGGCCCTTTTTCCATGAATAATGAGTATGGACATCAGCTCTGTTGCCAGGTACATAATATAAACACAATTTAACACATGGCTTTTGGTAAAGCAGTGTGTCTGCTTGCAGAGGCTGAGGTTTCGCATAACATGATCCAACTTTTTAGCCCAGGGTGGGGGCAGACTGCTCGAGGAAACAATCTGTTCATATGTTATCAAAATACAATAAATCAGGTTTGGTCTTAGTCAAAAAAAAGGCAGCGGAGTGGAACCAACAGAAACTGCGGATAGGAAAATATAAATGAGTTCATTGTTTTATATTCCAATAAATCTTACAACACGTGAAGTTGATGAGTTCTAAAATGAGCTGAGACTCCCTGAGATGGGCCTTCTGAGACTCATGAACTGTAAGGGTTATACTGGTTAAGCCTGTGCTTGCCGAGTCCTTGTACATACCTAGTGTACACACACACCTTTGTTTATATATGGCAAAGCATGAGTTGAAACGGCATGGGTTCAAACAGACAAAGTAAGAAGAATTTTATTTTGAAAAGCCTCATTTGTTGCATTTACAACCTTGGTTTTGACTCTATCATCAGATGCTTTTGAGAAAACAAAACGCACCTTTTAAGTTTTATCAACTTCCATGACACAAAGTTCCACCATAGTATTGTTTACCACTAGGAATCAGTGCTTTAGTATGCAAAGTAGAGCTGGCACAGGAGTTTAGTCTGAGATTTGGGAGGGCATGGCTTAATTCCTGTTCTGCCACAATTCTACTGTCTCCCAGGACTATTATAACTACATTAAAGACTAGAAGGTGCTAATATCCTGCAGTGCCTGGGGCATAAAAATGGGTATTTCTATTTACTTGCTTCTTAATGTGCCCAAATAAAGTCCATGGGGACCTACATCTGTGTCACAGGAATTACTGAAATACAAGAAACTACAAGAAAGACTCTGATGTTACCACTTTAATGGCACAATTCTTCAATCAGACTAAGCACAACCAAGATCTCTCCTACAGTCATTACTGCTACTGGATGGTAGTGCTCAAGGTGACATTTTGATCTCTGCTTAGAATGATCTGAGTTCAGAAAGAGTTGAAAACATTCCAGACTGGACTGGTAGCAGTGACTATCACTAACATTGCCTGTAATGAGCTGCATATTTGTCTTTCGTTTAAACAACCTCAGCTCTGCCACAGTCTACTGCAGAGGTCTGAAATTTGGCAAGATGATCATGTTAGTATCAAGCCAATGGTCTCTTGCTAGCCTCATTAACATTTATCTTAATTTCCTAAGTTATAAGATGGTAGAAGAAAGCAGTTAGCACATGTTCAGTGGAAGCGTCTACATTTTTTTCAGTTATATCCTCCAAGGATTCTTTGCTCATCAAGTAAGCAAGTCTCAGTACTCCAGTAAACTTATGCATCATCCCCTTGCCACTATTCTATGTGATGATACGGGGCCAAGTACTGCGACTAACAGCAAGAAGCCTCTGTCTGCGTGAGCTCTTACTGTTCTGCTTTTTGGCATCCAAGCAATGCAGCAGAGAATGTCAAATGAAGAGGAGGCAGAAGCTGCAGAGAAAAGGGTAGATGGAAAAGACGTCTGGTAAGACAGGAGTTGGAAAGTGGGTGAGGACAGGTATCATGACCATCACTGAAGAGAAGATTGGGATAAGTAGTTATGAGAAGCAGAAGAACAGAACTAGGAATGAGCAGTACAGGCTGAACAAGGAGCCTCTGGTAGGAACGGGGAGCAAGAGAAAGCTGAAACTGAGCATGCATAAGAGAAGTAGAAGATAATTCAGTAGACAAATGGGACAGAAGATCAACTGAGGGCAGGCCGGAAAAGATGCTAATTCTTTCAAAGAATCAAAGAGTGGCCATGCACTGGGGATACAGGCTGCAGAGCCCATATTGGTAACCATTTATACAACACTACCTCAAATTATGTCCATCTACCTTTTCAAAAACTTTGGAAGTTACAAGCCTTAAAACCTCTGTTCAAGTAACACCAGAAAGGCTGTAAGAGCTAGTAATTAAGAGCATTTTAAAGGCTACAAGATCAACCTAGAGAAAGAGTTAAGAAACATCAAAACTAAGGCTACCAGTTTCACTTCATTCAGCTGTTTGATTCATGCATGTTATGATCTCATTTTTAATTATATGATTACATAATATTCCTTTCATAAATTCCCTTGCCATACTCCAGTGCATAGAATGAGACTTTTCTGAGGATGAATGAGGACTGTGTAGTAACACAACCAGAAACTGAGGGCTGTAGGATTCCTGATTCACTTGTTGCAGAACTTGGAATGTGGATAGTGAATAAACTGGCGACTGCAGGAAGAGGATGAAGAGTGGCATTGTGCAGGCTGATGAACGCTGCTCCAGAGAACTAGATTGTATTCCTGTTTCTGTCACAAAGTTTCTACACACTACAAGGAAAACCCATTTAACTTAAACTAAACAAAGTATGCCAGTTGGTGCTTCTTATTCTGTTCTTTCTCTGTTTGAGACCCTGGTGTCTTGAATTCAAGTTCAAAAGGCTAGAGCTGAAGTCAGCAGGAGCTGTGATGTGAACATAAAATACCGAAGTTAAGCTGCATAAACCAATGCTTACTGAAAAATACTGAAAATTAATGCAAAAAGTTCACCTAGTCTTCTGAGGTTTCCAAATGTTCCCCTTAAGACATGAAGTCTGCCACTCACTGGACTGCTGTGAAGTTAAGTCAATTAACGTTTGTAAAGCACTTGTATGCTACTAAGTCAACATTCATGGAAACGTCCACAAGGGAACCGATAATCCCTTCTTCAGACAAGGTTTGAATAGCATGCAGTAAAAAGTCTGCAGAACCTAAATAGCTGTTCTTTAAACATCAACGGAGAGCAAAGAAAGCACTGAAGATCGTTCAAAGACACTGAAAGCGAGTTCCACTGCGCTATACAATGAATTAAGCATGGGTAGGCAGAAAAAATGGACAATGTTTAATCTTTGGATTAAGGACTGTGTAAGGGGATCTATGAAGTTCAAGCCAATCACCTTAATTACAGTGTTTCCTAAATTTTAAGAGTTTGGCTTAGAAACATTGCTTCTGTGTGTATCATATAGAGAAAATATAAATATATATGAACTTACCATCATACTTTGCTAAGACTGCCTGGACATCTGCATATGCTTGCAGTTCCAACAAAGCCTCTAGTAGGTTTTCATGGATGTTGAACATGCTGAGCAGAGGAAACTCCTTCATCAACTAAAATCAGTAACATATGAAAGGGTTAGATTATTAACATGCACTGTTCAAAGTGCATTGAAATAACCAACATCAAGTTAAAACCCCTCAGTTCCCCTTGTTCTTGGCTCTTTCCCAGAATTCACTATTATCTCATAAATTTCTGAGCACTTAATGGACATTGGGTCAGGTTTCTTGACAAGACATGCTTTGCATAGGATGTAATTAGTCAAATCCAAGAACACAGCTGCCTGAATACATAACTCTCCTTCAATTAACAGCCTTCTTCAAAGTGAAGGAGAGTTATCTTATTGTACTGGAAAAGAATCTTCAACAATGTAGCTCCTGTATAACAGTACCAAGTAATCCAGCACCTCTCTGATACATTAGTAGAAAAAACAGAAAATACTTTAAAAAAAATCAGAATAAAATCAAATGAGAGAAGCTTACATAAATGCAACTACATTATCAAGTATGTGATATTAGGATTTGTAATCATGGATACTTTACAACACAATTGCAACTGTGGCCAATATAAAAAATGGGGGGAAAAAGAAAAAAAAGAAACAACAGGAAAGGTAAGGTTTATACAAATCTAAGACTATAACTAAAGAATCCATCTTGTATGACAAACTGAATGAAATCTGTAGTTAAAATAATCTAATCCTTTTACACGTAAATGCCTTTACTTTATGAACTAACCCTTTGAGAGATAGCAGGGATTTGTTCTCAGACTTCCTCAGTTTCAGCATCTGCACAGATTCAAATGACTGAAGCAGATACTCTATTGCATATCCTTTTTTGAAGCCACACTTATCAGAAGCATCCACGGTTTTTTTTACTGCAGAATTGATTAAATAATATTTTTTATTGCCAGAGTGATTTTCTAAAGAACTGAAGTGTTAAAAGATTCTTGCTTCCTCGTGTCCTCTCTATGGTTGTTATACCTTAACTGCCTACATGATGTACATTCAGCACAAAAAGGTCCAACACTGTAGAACTAGGATAGCTGATATTACGGCTGTTCTTTAGGAACTCACAGGGGAACACTATCATTTACAATCTCTCTGAGATCGTTTATGAGAACAGAAATATAGTAACAAAGAAAATGACTCAAGGTCAGCCTTGCTTAATTTGAAAATAGTAAGCTGGACCTGAAAGCTCTGTCACTTAATAAACCTACCTTTGAAGATATAAATAGAGAAACTGAGAGCCAGCAAATCTTAATGTCACAAACAGGTAATATAATCAAAAATAAGCCAGGATTGAAACAAGAGGGGTGGAGATTCACCAAGAACTTTAGAAAATGAGAAACAGGTAGTGAACTAGAGCTTCTTCACTCTGGTAAGGAAGAGACCTTAACAGGTAAACAGATGCAAAGTGCAGAGGATTTCTTCCTTGTGTTAATGGTCTGGCATAAGCTAATGTAAGAACTATTTTGACCTTAAGGGTTAAGTCTGTCTAAATTTGGCTATTATTTGGATAGTATTGACTTTGCTGCAGTTTGAGGATTATTAAAATATCAAAGGCAAGGACAGTAGTGTTTTGTTTAACCATTATATAAATTTCTGGTAAGAATCATGATCACTGAGACAGCAGCTGAAAGAGCTCATTGAATTTTTGATGCTGGTGGCATGGGGATGGCCATAAAGTTCCTCATTTCAATGTCAGGAGCTGAACCTGTGAAAAAGAACACAAACAAAACTGCAGGGTTTGCAGGCTTTTCTCCTTCTCCAGTTTTCCAAAAAATGGCCCACAGGCCTTGGTGGTCATCTAGGTAAGTGGAAGGATTTAACAATAAAATAAAAAGTTTAAGTCATTGCTCATGAAGAAAAATAACCGCAGGTGAAAATTCACATAGTTGGATTCATCAGTTAAGGATCCAGCATAGATCTTACTTTTCTTCATTCTTGTCTTTACTCACCATTGCATTTTTAACAGAGGAAGCTACTATTTGGCAGAAGAAAGTATGACAGAATCTGGCCCTACGTAAATAGTGATTTAAAGTTCAGAATGAACATATTGCAAAGAAACCCCTCCAAGGGATTAAGAAAGATTATCCCTGCTCATTGAGAATGAATAATGGCTGGCAGAATAATATTCCCTCCATCAGTGAAGAAAAGGGGAGAGCTGCAGTTAGTTATAGATGTACTGTGGCCAGTAAAAGCTCTTACACTGGTTCTCCGCTTCTCACTGACATCACTCACTGATTATTTTTTTCCTATTTTAATTAGGTTCTGTCAGAGTGATAAACCCTGCCTAAGACAGCAGCAGAATAAAGGTCACTGTCTGGACTGCCAGGCCTCCAAACTGACAAGTCTTAATAAAGGTTTCATCTGGGAAAGGTCGAACGTTAAGAAGTCCAACCCAGTTATAATGGACTCAGTTGATACTGTAGCTACAAAGATAAAAGACCTCTAAGCAGCCACTCAGCTATTTGAACACTGAACGGCAGCACATTTAATAAAGAAAAGAAAAAGAAAAGAGGAGATGAACTAATTTCTCTGTCATCTCAGGATGTAGAGTATATAATTTTCACTGCAAATAATTTTCAGTCATAGTAAAAATTGTTTTTTTGAGAAACTTCCCAAAAAGTAAAGCCACTTAGATGGAAGAATACTATGACAGGTCATCTTTTAGGCCCCATAGTGAAAGCAAACGCTAAGGAAGAAAAAATATGCCGCAAAGGTTGGAACATAGCCTGCTGGATGGTACGGGCAGGCCAAATACTGCGTCATGCTGAGGAGCAAGGCAGAGCAGACTGTGAACCCGCTCCCTCCCCTTCCTAGCAGATGGAGAGGGAGGCTGGCTCGTACTCACACAGAGATGCAAACATGGGCACGTTATCCCTCAACACAGGATGAAGAACGCACCCCTGAGTTCCCCAGACTTGTACAGCATCGAGCTCTAATCTGGACTCTAGTTTAAGAGGCACAGACCTCCCTTTGCACCCAAAGGTTTATTTCCTGTGAAGCTGCAGACTAACATTTGCCCAATCGTTTGGCTTATCAATTTTCATTCTCTTTACATCTTTACTGTAACCTGACAAATGCTTTCATTTCAGTGGCAAGCACTGCACTTAAAGAAAAGACAAAGACCCTGTTATCATCTTTCTCTACACCTTAACATCTCAAGAGACAGTCATCAAATTGAGCACTCAAGACTTCTCACCAGACCTGCTACAGCATTTTATGTAAATACTAGTTAGGACTAAAAGTTTCATTGTAAAATTCCAGTTAGTTGGTTTCTCAGCTGGTATGAAAAGGCTGTGCTCCACCGAGCAGAGCTTATTTTCATACCATATGAAGACGGACACCATACGGCTATGAACGTATTCCCTCCTTACAATATAAGCATGTTCAAACAGCTATTGAACATATCATACCTAATCTGTGTTCAGAAGGATTTTACTTTGAACTTCTATTGGTCAAAATACTTTCTAGTCATGAAATTCAGACCTGGGGCCGGGTTAGCCCATATTCTGTTCTAATTGCTCTGCACGTTTAGGGGGAAATAGAAACATGTATAGAAAGTAGAATTGCTTTTCATCAAAAGATTCATTAGCTATACTGCAAATACAGAGAAATGGTAGCTTTTGCAGATAATTAATAATTCTGAATTTTTTACATAAATAATATTTTGTGAGTATAAGTTAGCAGAAAAATTCTGGAAATAAGTCTGACACAATTGCATATCTTATCACTAGTCCTGGGAGGGCTGTATTTCCAGACTCAGCCCAACCCATATTGCCGGGTGTAGGTTCAATAATTTTGTGATGGATATGAAAACGTGATGATCACAAAAAACACTTCATGGTACAAGGAAATCTACATCTGATTTATTGGATGAGGAGCAAGTTTTCTCTCCCATAGAACAGTTTAATGAAGAGGACTCCCTTCCCTAAGAATATTTCAGTCATCAGTATTTTCTCATTTAGATCTAATTTTGGAAACATTTTCAAGGAATGTGCTTTAACTGTTGCAACTGTGATGACATTAACATCATGCATCAATTAGCAATGATACATTATTTGTGTAGAAAACAGCTTTAAGCTACAGCTTATGCGTATGACTAGACCATGGGACTCAAGGGAATACAGAGGTGGATAAATGAATGATCTTATATATAACCTGGTGTTGACACATTTATTCTCCATTTGCATTGTGGCTGTACGCATGGTCACATATTATATGGGCAGTGCATGCAACTACTCATTGCTGCTTACACTCATATCTTCTCAACGAACAAAAAACATTTTTAGATCAATGCATTCAACTGAATGCATTCATAAACACGAAAAGGTAATTCAGCTTAAAATGAAGAACCAACAACCAGAAGCAAACAAGAGAAATTCAATGCAAACAGTGAAACTGTTACAATCTTAATTCTTCATGTATGTGTTCCCACAGTGGGTATCTGAAATGGTAAAATCTGTCTCCTAAAAGAGGAATGACTGAGGCTGCCATCTTCCAGGTGCAACTGTCCACCACCATCGAAGAATCAAGCACACAGTATGGCTAGCACTGTTATTTTCACAAGTGCTTTGCATAAACTGCTTTCTGGTATATGACTTGTAATCTGTGAATGCTGTTAACTGAACAAGGTAGAAAAGGCAAAACGCCAAGTAATTTCAGAGTAGAAAACCAGAAACTTCCATTTCTGTGGACTTCATTATCTACAACTGAGCTTTCAGATGGCTAAGCTCTGACTGCAGTTTACCCTGGGCTTGAGGCATTTGCAACATGTCACTCCACTTTGACTCTCTGATGTCTAATAAGTTACACTAATGCTTAAGTTTTTCTCCTGGTCAGCTCACCCAGCAAGGAGAGAAGGGAAGAAACGGTCAGCAGACTAAGGCTAGCACACAAAAAGGCTCTGCTAACAATATCAGATGCCTAAAAATTAAGCTAACTCCTGGTCCTAAAAGTGCAACTCATTCCAGTGTGGTCTCATGAGTGGGATTTATGTGATGTAGCTCTCAGAGTTGGCAAATGATCTGAAATATGCTGGACCTATCTGAA